AACTGCTACCATGGTGGACAACTTTACAGCTCTGTACATTTGGTCCGTCCAAAAAGTCACGGCTCTGGATGTAGATTTCTCCATGTTGTTACCGGCTTCTTCTTCTCTTACACATTTAATGCTATTGGACTTCCGGGTCAAAGCCCGGGGCGGAAACTGTGGAGCATGCTCAGAGCGCCTCGGCCAGTTTGGGTCTGACTGACTGTATACATGCAGGAGTCACATGATCTGGGTGTGTTAGTCCCACTGAGAGTTTCAATTTAGTACAATTTCACACTTACTGTGATAGTGGAGTTTCACAGTTTGGCAGGTCATTAAGATTTTTGAGCACATGAAAAGATTTCAATAAAACAAATCCTGTGGATAACCTGAAAAGATTTTGTTTAGTTTGTTTTGAAAATAACATACAGCTGATGTCCACAGATTAACAAGTCCAGTATTTCTCAGCTCTGCCTGTCAGGAGAGGATGTCAGCGCAACGTCTTGACTCAACACAATCAAGTTGTTTTTTGTCTTTATCTCAGAACAAGTTGCTTTGTGAGTCTGACTCTTTTGATGAATGTTGTTTCCTTGCTGTTGTTGGGTCACCTTGGTCATGATCTGTCGTCATGTCAAATGTTTCTAATAAGAAAAAAAATCCACTTTAGCTAAATATATTTTATTATCTTCAGCATGATTAACAGTCCTTGAGTTGAACTTGAGACAATGTTAATGTGCTTATCACAGAAAATATGGACAGAATAAATTAAAACACATGGACATCACAGTATATGTGAGCTGATACACTCACACACACTTTCAGTCGGCATCTCAGACGTTGCTTTGTTGAATATTTGTTGTCTTCACTGGTTGTTGTGCTGGATTGAAAGCTGTTGTAGCTCAAAGCTTGCCCTCTAGGTGGCAGCACAGCTCTAGTGTTGTTTGAATGCAGTCTACCTCGGTGATGAAGCAGCATTTCCATGGCAGCAGCAGGACTCTAACATGGTTTAAAGTGTCTGATATTTGGAGGGAATTCAACAGGGCATCCACCAAACAGAGGAAGAACTGTTTCTCAATTACAACATAAATACACAAAAGTGATTAAGAAAACGGGAGAATGTGTGCAGGAGAAATGTCACATTTCACAGATTCACAGACGTGTACTTTTGCAGCTTGTGCTTGTTGGGCTCAGATATAAGGACAGACAGCTGGAATCAAAATGTAGTTTCATATTTCTAAAGAAGAAACAAAAACACAGATGAAGGGAAGTCAAGGTGCCAAACAGCAGCTTCAGAGGAGTTTAAAAGCTGGCTGAGAGATGCAGCGCAGGGAATAACAATTCACAGAGCATCCATACATTAGAAGAAGAAGTGCTGCAGCATTCCAGTTTCACTGAATCTAGTCCGGTCCATTAGCTGTACAATCAGTCCCCACCCAGAGGTTTTCAGCACAATCACAGAGCTGCAGGGTTCCTCTCTCCAGACGGTGTCTCATCGACGATGAGAGCTGAGGAGCAGAAGCAGCCAGAGCGTCCTGGAAGGATCTGAAATCAGTAGAAAGCAGTGGGTCAGAAGCTGCTGATTCGATACCCATGCACAATGCCGCAGGCCTCTTTGGGCGGCGACTCCTCCGGCGATGTTGGAGATGACATCTGCCCATCCTCCAGGTCTGTGTCAGCTCCAGACTCTGCCATCAGAGGCTGGCCGCGGTTCTTTATCTCCCTCTGGTACCGCGCCATCAGCGAAGCTTAGACGCAACCGTAAGTCGCTGCAACCACCATCATGACGCACACCGTGCCGCAAATCACTCCTGCAACTATTTGTGTGCCGTGCGCTCTGCGGACACTGTTGGGCCGGTAGCGCTGGCGGGCACATTCGTCGTTGCTGCTGATCCGGCCGGGTGGGCAGGGAGGTCGAGTGGCGTAACATGGGGCGCCGTCTTTGGTGGGACTCTGCAGGCAGTAGCTGAACATCTCTGCTGGCACGCTGCGGATGTCCCTGCCCTTCAAATCCCCCGGGAGACTGCACCGCATCGCATCTACCTGCCCATCTATAAAACAGACGGAGAGGGTAAACATAAAAAGAGAGGGGGAAGAACAGGGAGGGAAAAAGATGAAGTAGAGAAGAGGAAGAAGAACGAGACAGGGAGAGACAGGGGAGGATTGAGAGAGATGGAGGTCATTTTATTCTTAGATGTCTTTGCTCAGCATACATCCATCCTGCAGAGCGGAGATTAATTGCTTCGATTAGACAGCTTTTGAAGTACAGACTCAAAATACAAAGTGATTCGCTCCGGTACAGTCTTAAAGCCGACTGCCAAACCTATCAACTTCACAGTATTTGAGATTTGGAGAGGCCCGCTAACAGCCCTGCTCACCCCTGTAAATCAACCACTCCATCCAGTGCTTGAAGTCTCTCAGCTTGCAGTCGCACTCCCAGGGGTTTCCCGCCAGCTGGAGCTGCTGTAGACCCACCAGGGGCTCAAAGGTGACTCTGTCCAGAGCCACCAGCCGGTTGCCGGCCAAGGACAGCCAGGCGAGTCTCTGAAGCCCATCCAGCAGGCCTATGGGCAGCCACAGGAGGCCATTCGAGGACAGGTCGAGCCCTCGCAGCCGCCACAGCCCCCTGAACACATCCTTGCTCAGGCCAACACTCCCTTGACTTCCATTCCAGCCCTGGAGGACCTCTGCACTACTGTTGGGGTCAGAGGTCACCAGGCGAACCCCGAAGTAGTTAGCAGAGAGATTGAGCCAGCGCAGGCCGCCCAGGCCTGAGAAAGCTCCGGGCTGCAGGGTGGAAAAGTGGTTCTGGGAAAGATCCAAAAGCTCCAGGCTGCTGAGGTTGGACAGCTCGGTCGTGCCCAGGGAGGAGAGGTTGTTCTGGGGCAGGCGGAGGTTCAGAGAGTCCTGGTCCAGCAGTGCTAGGATGGGTGTCAGAGAGAGAAGACCAACGGCGGAGCAGTCAGTCGTGTTGCCATAGCAGGTGCAGGCACCAGGACAGCCGTGGACCGAGCCCAGCACTCCCAGTAGAACCAACACCAGACTGGACAGGGCTGCACACACTGGAGGACATGAAAACAAAAAGAACATAAAGCTTAGAGAGAGAGAAGTCACGAAAACACTGCAGTACAGCAGCAGATTACAACTCAGCGTCTGTCGAGACTCACCCAGACTCTCCAGGTGACTTCGTCCATACTGGTCCAGGTTCTTCATGTCTGTCACATTGACTCTACTTTGGCTTCAGGCTCTCATCCAGCTGTCGTCACACTGCCAGTTCACACAAACGTCCAGCTGTGCAAAATGTCCTGAAATAAAGACAATGGAGACAGAAGAGGAGATGTTGAGTAAAAGTGGAAAGTGCAACATCAGCTGCACTCAGATTTTAACACACTCACACACTGATGGAACATTGGTGTTTAGTATCTTGCTTAAGGATACTTCAACATGCAGACTGGAGGTGCCAGGGATCGAACCGCTGACCGTCCCGATAGCAACCCAGGAAAGATTTCTGCTCACACCAAACAGATTTTCTATCGTCCCCGGGATGACGGAACACCATTAGACAGCGAGTCTTGCTTTTTAGCCTGCGCACAACAGAAAAACATCGGCCACTGCCATCGGTGAATGAGGTTGATGGGAGTCTCCAAAGTGGGTATCGGCTGATACTGATGTGTGACCATTAAATCTGTGCATTCCCAACTTTGACTAATTTATTAACCAGATACTTTTTTTACTTTAACCTGAGTCGGTTTCTCAAATGGTAATTTTCATTTTTACTTGAGTCATTTTTTCATGGGAGGAATTGTATTTTGACCTGCACTTGTATAGTCTTCATGTGACAAAGCGCTTTTCACACTTCGAGTCACATTCACCCGTTCACACACACACATTTACACACTGGTGGCCGAGGCTACGTACAAGGTCCCACCTGCTATTCAGTATTTAACACACTCACATACCGGTGGAACGGCTATCAGGAGGCTCAAGGATACTTCGACATACAGGCTGGAGGATCGAACCGCCGATCTCCTGATTAGTAAACGACCCTCTCTGCCTCTGAGCCAGCCACGCTCAAATCAGAACAGAACGCTTTGTTATGGCAACTGAATTCGTCCAGAATGAACTGACTTAAACAGCTGAATATTTTACCAGGTACACTGTGTGATCTTCAGCTTCAGTTCGCTGTCAGCAGAGCGCACAGCTTTGTTTTTCCAATCAGTTTTTATCTCCACAGGCTTTTGACTTTTTATTAGAAAAACAGAAATTTACTAACACATTTCCCACTGTCACCGTCATCCTAAACTGTCTGTGGGAAAAGACGACTGTAATGACTCGTCCCATTCGCTCCTGTATTATGAAGGATAATCCTTTGTGAGCTTTACTTCACTGTGAGATTTACTTTGCTCTCTTGCAGCTTGTACACGTCTTTACTTTCATTCATCTCACTGGTAGCAAATAAAAGATGTACTCGTTCACACTCGGTCCATCTGGTCCAGGGATTCAAACTGATGATTTTCTTTTCACAGGCCTGTTTCCCAAACCTCTCAGCCACCATAAAGAGTGCAACTCGATATGCAAGATTAAGTGGAGTATTTCTTGTGCACTGATTGAAAAACATCAACAGCTTAGTCTGGCTGTGCTGATCTTCAGTATATTGGCATTACAGGCTGGGTTGTGCTGTAACACAGCGCTTCGCTTGTCCTCAATCCTTTTCATTCTTTGCCTTTCTCGCTAGGAGAGAACACACAAGCTTCATGATGAAGTGAAATAATCCTCTGTGTTTTCATCCAGCAACACCGGAGAAAAGTCAATGCCAGCTTCAGTCTTCTCAACGCCCACTTGCAATTCCTCTACGCCGCAGATACAGTACATCGTCAGCATTGTTTCACACATACAATCAAGGAAGATGCTTGTATTTTTGGATGATTCGTTCGTTTTTAATTTGCTCTTTTTCCTCCTCTCGATCTCTCTGGCAGTTTCGGGCACTGAAATATTAGGGGGGGGGGGGTGCATGAGAGATAACGCTGCAGAGGTAAAGAAAAGTGCTGTCACTCCATCATCTCTCTGTAGCTGCTATAAAGAGCCAGTGAAAAGCTGCCTCAAGGTCTTTCTTTTGTTGCAGGTCTTTCTTTTGTTAAGTTGGCACAATGATGCCAGTCACTCTGCTGCGGCCTGCGTGAGGCAGGAAGGTGCCTCCAGGCCACAACTGACATTACAAAACAGCAGAAATTACAATGCAGGTAGAGAAGGGAGATAATGGGAGGACATATGGAGAGGCACATTCCCAGAAGAATATTTGACGTCACTTCAAATCATCAAGAGACCAAAAATTAGAAGTGTGAGAGCTTTAGTTCCCAGATGATAATCACAAGCAAAGCCTCTGCATGTGGATGGAAGATAATGGACAGTATGTACTGATGCTCAGGGGCTCTGCAGACATTTCTCACCAGAAAAACAACAGCATTGGAAGCTTGTTTAAAAGTGTAAAGGAATACTTCATCCCCAAAATGATCATTTGTATATCAGTTACCCGCTAAGAGTAACCTTCAGTTTGCAAAGTAACTTTAATTACTTATTTATTTGCAACAATTCGTGCAGTATAATCCAAATCCTATACTTGGTATGTGCATTTGAACTCTATTCACGCATTCCACTGAAATCCCACCTCCCAGCTTGTTCATTGGTCAGGAATTCTGGTGCCACTTTTGCCTCTTTTTACTTTAATTCATCAAGAATTTTCTCCGTCTTTTGGATTCTTCATTCACCATGGAGGCATGCGTGAAAAACATAGTCTTTTCCTCACAAATTGGATGTAACATGAGATGAGTAACTGATCTACAGTGATCATTTTGGCAGATGAAGTATTCTGTCGAAGCAAACTGTTTACGTTTCTTGACGTGAAGCAACTGAGGTAGAAGCAGCGATATAATGTCACACTACCACAGACCCTCTGAAGGAGGAAGTCAGGCAGTTGGATGGGAAATGCAGTTTGCTCGAATCCCCCTACCAGCAGCCATTTGGCTAAATACGGGCTCCAATATGCTTCTCAGTCTGCACAGCAGTCGCTCAGAAACTTCTGACCTGGACAGATTTTGCATATAATAATAATGACTTTTGACAGGAAGTTGGATCAACCAGTTGGCATGTATGACGAGTTGTTGAGACCTAGGGAGTCCGTGTTACAAGCTCCTCTTTGAGTAGCTACCCGTAACACTCTGCTCTGCGTAGATCTTAGATTGACTGATTGTATTGATTTGTGGGTCACAAGACGTCTAGATGAAATCTGGGATAAATTTGACTGAAAGGGTTTTTTTTAGATATTTATGTTAAATCTAACTTTTTGATCATTAAATAGTCTTACATTTAAATTTGTGAGGTTTTATCTAATTTCATTTATCATTTTTTTTATTAATGTGAAAATGTGTGAAGCCTTTCTGTATAAAGTCCACATTTATAATGTTACAAATCTTATTACTTGCCTGCAATGTTTACCTGCGATTGTTAAAGAAGTAATTCATGAGTTGACCAAAAATCTGTCCAAAATTTAGTTGAAAGGTGTCTCGAACAAGTCTTACAAAGCATTAAATTTAGCTGTCCAATACCTGTAGTCAAAGAATTCAGATTTGTTTTTGTTTTTTTCTTAAAAAGTTACCCAAACTGATAGGCTAAATCCATTATCAGATTTGTCGGCGAATAATTTAATAGTTGATAAATAATCGGTAAATTGTTGCAGCTCTAACTTGAATGTCTGATCTCATTGGGTGTGTGTGTGTGTGTGTGTTTACCATAAAGGTAGGTAGTTTTAAAGTCACATTTTAGAAGCTGAACAACAGCAACAGAGATCAGTGGAAAACAGACGTAGGGGCAAACAGATGCGAAACGGCATCAACACTAAGTTTGTAAATGTCTCAAAGCTTTATGGCTATAAACATGGAGACAAAAGTAAAAAGCAGTGAGATCAGTCAGAGCCTGAGCTGCAAAATGCACTTCAGAAAATGCTCATATGAGTCACACAGATATCGAGTCTTTTTTGAACCCTTCTTGTCCTTAAGGTACGAGGACTTGTTGGTTGGTTTCAGGTGTGTGTGCAGCACTCCACTAACTTGCTGTGAAAGACAATAAAAAATCCGCAGGCTTAGTCACAGTTGTGAATGACAGCTGTCAGTCACTAAGATCTGCTACAGCAGTCTGTAAGAGGATGAGCAGGGCCTTTATCAGATCCCAGGGCATCCTATGGAAAAGATGACCTCTGACCTCTCACTGGCTGATGTTTGGAACAACAGATGGACTCTGAGTCATGTTACACGTTTTAAAAACAGGAGGATTTACAGAACAACGTGCTCTTGTCCTACATAAATCCTGCAGAAGGAGCCATGTAGTAGAGAAACAAACTCCACCTTGACGTCTTTGTCTGGAGACTTTTACTTCAACAACACTGAACACCATAAAAACACTCCACACACTCACTGCTGCATGCTTACACACACTCCAACACTTCTAAAGCTGCGAGCTGAGGACCAAAACAAAAGCAAAGTTGGTATGTCATCCTCTGTTTATCAAGAGCTGAAGTCGCTCCTGGCTGCGTTTCTTCTATTCACCGTCTCCCTCTTTATGCATTTGTCTCTTGAGCGAGCACTCCTCTCTGCACCACTTGGCACCTCTTTCTTTTGGACTTGTGACTTTTAAGGACTTCACAGAGAGTGTAGAGGC